GACAAACAACAGAAGCACGCAGCGGGCTGCAAAAATATCCCCCGCTTCTTATTTCATTTTGTTACTTTAAAACCTGGAATTTAAAATAGTTTAAAATTTGAACGAAAGCAACAATTCTACAGAAAATACTCCAGATTAATGAGGTAAAGAATCGTTTTTTAAATGATTCTATAAAAGTACGATGGCTTCCAGAATCAAGAGCGGTCCAACACATCCAACGCTGAGACATCATGAAGACCAAGGACAGGTCAGAACCCTAAACGTCCCTCAGAACTCTGTTAAATCCTTTTATAAAGTTCAATAATGATGAGGACAGGAGGACAAAGAAAACCCTGATGGACGATCTGTCTACAGAACCTGAAGAGACCTGATCCTGGATCTGATGGAACAGGATTATTAAACTCCAGGTTTTTAAGTAAAAATACCAAACACCATTGGGAGGGGGGTGAATACGTTAGTGTCCCACCTGACGCTCAAACACGTGGATCAATTTGGGTCCAGGAGGACAATGTGTTGGACGGTACCAGACTCTGTTCAGGATTCTGAGGAGTTGAAGGTTCTGTGTGTGGACCAGGACGTCCTATCAGGTCCACAGAGCTGCCACCGGACTACAGTCTGCTGACCCGCCTCACGGCTGTGATGGGATCGTTTGTGTTCTGGTCCAAAGTTGGTCCGAGTCTTCCTGTCCTCACAGGGTTTGATGTTCTGTCCCTGCGGACGTCCTCAGCTGTTGGACGGCGGTTCTGGTTTCAGTCGGATGGCCCAGGAGTTGGCCGACACGATGTCGCCGCGGCGGTGCACACGGCAGGTGTAGACGCCCACGTTGAACTCGTTGGCCACGATGCGGAGGTCACGGTTCTTCATCACGATGTAGCCGGGCACAGAGGTCAAGATCTGCTCGCCGTCCTTGTACCAGCTGCAAGAACCGAGACACAGAGGACAAGTCAGAACCTCAGACACCACATGTCCAACACCCTCAGTGGACCCTCAGAGGACCCCCAGAGGTCCCTCAAAGGACCATTGGTGAATCCTCGGTGGACCCTCGGTAGACCCTCAGAGGACCCTCAGAAGTCCCTCAGAGGTCCCTCAAAGGATCATTGGTGAATCTTCAGTGGACCCTCAGTGGACCCTTGGTAGACCATCAGAGGACCCTCAGTAGACCCTTGGTGGACTCTCAGAGGACCCTCAGTAGACCCTCAGAGGACCCTCAGAGGACCCTCAGTGAACCCTCAGAGGACTCTCAGAGGACCCTCACTGAAGACAGTCCAATCAGCTGATTGGTCGATCGAAGTATCGATCAATAACCGCAGCCTGACACTGTACCCCGCACAACGGATCTGCTGACCTGACTTTAGGAAGGGAGCGGAGGGTTTTGGACCCGCAGCGGAAACCCACTACCTTCCCTCGAGGAACCATCTTGACCTTGATGTTGGCAGGAGGCGGAGTCGGCGTGGTGACCACCTCCAGGGGCTCTGTGGCGGGAAAATTACCCAGACAGGAAGTGGCTTTATTGATTCTGTAGGACTGAAGGACGCAAAGAGTTGGTCTACTGAAATACTCAGTACTAACCAGTACTATCTAGTACTGTCAAGTACTAACAGAACCAGTGAGTACTGACAAGTACTAACCAGTACTATGAAGTACTAGAACCAGTTAGTACTTATCAGTACTAACCAGCATTATCTAGTACTCTTTAGTACTAACAGAACCAGTCAGCATTGACCAGTACTAACCAGTACTATCTCTTACTATGAAGTACTAACAGAACCAGTGAGTACTGTCCAGGTGTACAGGTCTCTGCTGGTCCGGACTCACTGTAGCAGAGGTCACAGCGCTGAGGGCAGTTCTTCCTCATGAAGGTCTTCCTCCTCTCACAGAAGCCGAGCCGGGCCCAYGGATCACAGACCCTCTTTTTATCCAGACACCCTAGAGAAACAGGGACAAACTCTGGTACCGAACAGGGATTTGATATTTTATTAAATCAGACAAACAAAATGAGTATCTGTGAGCTTTGTTTTGAAAGGCCAGGTTCAAACCTCTTCCTGCTTCCTGTTGACTCCTAAACATCAAAGATTAGAGAAGGAAGAAAAGTATGCTGGGTGAAATAAAAGACCTGGATTTGTTTGGTAGGAATGTAAAGTTTAGACATTGTGATGTCAGGTCCAGTACCAAACAGGGTCAGAAATGAGTCCTGCTCTGGACTGGGTTGGTACCGGTACCGTAGAGTCTCTGGATGCCCCAGACGTCGTCCTGGGCAATGTTCCGCTGCCCGGTGTAGGTGGCGTTGGGGTGCATCAGCGCCTCTTGGTCTCTGGAGTGCCACAGACCCAAAGCATGTCCGATCTCATGAGCTGCTACCTGGACCAGGTCATTCAGCCAGACCCCTGCAGAACCACAGAGTCAGACCCTCTACAGAGGTTTRAGTGGTGCCTTCAGTGTCTGCTGGTACCTTGTCTCCAGCTAAACCTGGACTTGCCCAGGATCCAGAACTCGTGATTGTCGAAGTGGATCTCTCCTCGTGGCGGCAGGAAGGCATGAGCCAGCTCGCCGTTCAGACCATCGAAACACGGGTGAAGAGGAGACCACCAGCAGTCGGTGTGGTTGAAGGTGTAGAAACCTAACGCACCCACAGAACCCAAACACGAGTCAGACGGGCTTAACAAACCACAGGGGTTGGACAATGAAACTGAAACACCTGGTTTTAGACCACAATCATTTATTAGTATGGTGTAGGGCCTCCTTTTGCGATCAGTGTCAGTTCATCTTGGGAATGGCAAATACAGGTCCTGCTCAATGGTCAGAGGGATTTGAAGCCATTCTTCTTGCAGGATAGTGTCCAGGTCACTACATGATGCTGGTGGAGGAAAACGTTTCCTGACTCGCTCCTCCAAAACACCCCAAAATGTCTCAATAATCTTTAGATGTGGTGACTGTGCAGGCCATGGGAGATGTTCATCTTCACTTTCATGTTCATCAAACCAATCTTTCACCAGTCTTGATCTGTGTATTGGTGCATTGTCATCCTGATACACGGCACCGCCTTCAGGATACAATGTTTGAACCACTGGATGCACATGGTCCTCCAGAATGGTTTGGTAGTCCTTGGCAGTGACACGCCCATCTAGCACAAGTATTGGGCCAAGAGAATCCATGATATGGCAGCCCAAACCATCACTGATCCACCCGCATGCTTTACTCTGGGCATGAACCATTCTGGGTGGTAAGTTTCTTTGGAGCTTCTCCACACTGTAACTCTCCTGGATGTGGGGAAAACAGTAAAGGTGGACTCATCAGAGAACAACATGTTTCACAGATTTGTGCTCCTTGCACCATTGAAACCAATGTTTGGCACAGTGACCAAAGGTTTGGTTATAGCAGCCTGGCTGTGTATACTGACCCTGTGGAGCAGCTGACGGACAGTTCTGGTGGAAACAAGAGAGTTGAGGTGACATTTAATTCTGTCGTGATTTGGGCAGCTGTGATTTGATGTTTGTTTGGATACAATCCAGGTTAGCACCTGAACATCCTTTCAGACAGCTTCCTGTTGCGTCCACAGTTAATGCTGTTGGWTGTGGTTGGTCCTTCTTGGTGGTATGCTGACATTACCCTGGATACTGTGGCTCTTGATACATCACAAAGACTTCCTGTCTTGGTCACAGATGCACCAGCAAGACGTGCACCAACAGTTTGTCCTCTTTTGAACTCTGGTATGTCACCCATAATGTTGTGTGCATTGTAATATTTAGAGCCAAACTGTGCTCTTACCCTGCTAATTGAACCTTCACATTCTGCTCTTATTGGTGCAATGTGCAATTAATGAAGATTGGCCAGCAGGCTGGTACAATTTAGCTATGAAACCTCCCACACTAAAATGACAGGTGTTTCAGTTTCATTGTCTAACCGCTGTAGTACCAGAGCTCAGATTGTTCACACTGACGTACCGATGGTGATGTCAGCGGTGGCGTTGGCATCGACAACCTCGGTGAAGCTTAGCGGCGACACGTCGCTCCACTTGGTGAAGGCGATGCTGATGGCCTTTCTGGTGTCTTCAATGTTCAGGGTGTTGGGGAACTTCATGATCCTGAGGTGAGGAGGAACACACTCTGATGTTTGCCACCACACCTGCCAGACTGGATGAAGCTCCGCCCCTTCCACAAAAACTGACAGCTGACATCTGTCATACTAGCTGAGACCAGTGCTTGAAGTGGGTCAGTACTTTTATCAAATACCCCTACTTCTCGTTTAAACTACATTACCCACAAGATATTAGCTCTAAACAGAAAGTCATGATTCACGCTCCTCTGCTTCTGATTGGTCAAACACTGAGGATCAGGTGAAGCAGAACTCATGAGGTCCAATAACTGGGTACAGGTAAAGCTCAAGGAGCCCATTGGAGTAAATAAACAATAAATATGTCAGTAATTTAAGTCATGTTTTACATGAACGTGAAGAAACACATTCAAGCTCCGCCTTCTTTGGGGGGAAACATCACCTCAAACCTGGACTGGTTCTTTCTGGTCTGGTCCAGTTCTTTACTGATTTTAATGGAATATCAGAGAATCTGTTGTGTCAGATGGTGATTTTAATTCTAAGAAGAGGTTGTTGTTTGTGGCGTACCTCAAGGTTCTATGCTTGGTCCAGTTTAATTAATCTACAAATTAAGGATTAAAAATGTAATTCATCCACCTTTTATTGTCAAGCAGAAAATGTCCCGTAAATCATCTTTTCCCTACTCTGAGCTCGGGTTAAGAACTGTCCAGACCCTGAGGTCCAGGTGTTCTGGGCTGGTCTACCTGTATGTGATGTTGTGGTGGGTCCACTTTTGTCCCAGAGGGTTGATGGCGTAGCGTTTGGTTCTGGCTCCTCGGTTGGAGAACGTCTCTGTGGTTCTGCTGCTGCCAGACGTCTGAAAAACATTGGATCGGGTCAGAACATCCTTTCATGTTGAACAAAAGGTTCTGATGGAGCTCAGAGGATGACTCAGCACATTTTATCTCAGTTTCTGTAAAACTGTCCGTTTGAACATTCAGATCAGCTGATTACTTCCAGACAGTATCAATAAAATCCACTCAAATACCTTGTAAGATATTTTACTAACAGATAAAATCATATTGCAGTTCCACTGACGTCCACCAGGTGGTACAGCAGACTGACCCGGGTCAGAACTTCAGGTGCGTTCTGGTGTTTTGTTGGACTGATCCACTCAGATCTGAAACACATCTGCCACCCACATGGGAACTGGGCTCTGACCCCCTGTTAGTCCACATCAGACCCTCCACTGTTAGTCCACATCAGACCCTCCACTGTTAGTCCACATTACATCAGACCAAAACATATTTCACCCTGAACCTCAAACCCTGACACAGAACCTTTGATCAGAACTGGACCTGAGACACCAGCAGCTCCACTCAGTGGACTATGAAGGCTCAGATTACAAAGCAGAACCTTCAGAACCCCCCACCTCCTTCCAGACCAAATACCAGGGATCTGGTCCAGACTGAAAAATACTCCTACATTCTCTCCAAGACCCCTTACAGCTGAGTGTGTCCCCCACAGTCCTTTAATGTCCCCTCATTGTCCTTTAATGTCCCTCACTGCTCTTTAATGTCCCCCACTGTCCTTTAATGTCCCTCTCTGCTCTTTAATGTCCCTCATTGTTCTTTACTGTCTCTCACTGTCCTTTAATGTCCCACACTGTCCTTTAATGTCCCTCATTGTTCTTTAATGTCCCCCACAGTCCTTTAATGTCCCTCACTGTCCTTTAATGTCCCTCTCTGTTCTTTAATGTCCCCCACTGTCCTTTAATGTCCCTCTCTGTTCTTTAATGTCCCTCACTGTCCTTTAATGTCCCCCACTGTCCTTTAATGTCCCCCACTGTCCTTTAATGTCCCCCACTGTCCTTTAATGTCCCTCACTGTCCTTTAATGTCCCCCACTGTCCTTTAATGTCCC